GGTAGATTTTGAGGATCTGCCAATTAAAGCTGATTGGATGGATTTTGTGACAAGATAAAAATCATGTGATCTAAAAGGTAATTTTTTAGTTTATTACAATGTAATGGAAAGACTATTACCATTCCCCTATCAGTTCACAAATCTTAGTGTAATATCTTTACTATGAAAAAGGAGGATCCTAAAGAGAGGCCATATAACTCCTTTCCAACTAATAAGAATAGTTTAAAAAAAGTGTGTAAACTATGCAAAGTTGGAAAAACGTCTTGCAAAAGCTGAAGAATGGCTTGGTAAAGCAATAAGTGCTATAAAAATGCTTGCTGAAAAGAAGTAAGTTATTTAATATCATCTATTTGTTTTAATACATCTTCAAGTTCAGATCCCATTTTAGATAAAATATCAGTATTATCTGTGCTATTAGCACTGTCCTGTGAAACTACCTCTGTTACTGTCTCAGTAGATGCTGTTTTACCTATTTTCTTTTTTTGACTATTTTTCTTCAGTAGTAAGGCAGGTAGAGAGGAAATAGCAGGAGGTAGATCACAGTTTACTACAAGTAAACACCTATCTGCATAAGTAGTATTAGAAATATCAGCTATTAGTTAATTCCAGGCAATTCTATTAATTTCTTCGCCTCTTCAAATCTGATATATGCGTTTCATTGATGTATTATTTTTGACCATCAATTCCTCTAAAACTTTTTTTCTTGGTCTCTCATCATGACGTTGCATAATAAAATCATAATCATTTGGTGAAAATAAAGGCGTATTACAATTCATACGCTATTTAACCATAATTGTGATGATGTATTTTTTTTATATAAAATATTCAAAAAATATTAAATAAGATGAATAGAATAAATATATTACTTCGAAAAAATTTATTAGGATAATTAGAATACTTAGAATACTTAGGATATTTAGAATAAATGTTATTATTTCAAAATTATATTTTTTGACTATATTTTGCGGAAATAAAAACTATGTCTTGAATCTATACCTTAAATGATATTGGCAATAGTGATGGCTAAAGATGATTTCCATAATTATTTTTAAAATTTTTAGCTAGTTGCAACTTAAGTTGCAATGCTTTAAGTTATAACATTTTATGAATTTTTATATTAAAATAAATTTACAAGGAGTTGCAACTAAGTTGCAACTTCTTAATTATGGTATTCATCTTTAGTGATAGCAATAAACTTGGAAGCCTTCCATCCAATTGATATCCACCTAGTCATTTAGAGCTTAAAGAACAGCTAAAAAAAGATTGCAAAAAGTTTATAAGATCTGCTAAACAGCTTATAGATAAGTATCATGCCTTAAATAATGAAAAAAAGGATATACAAAATGATCTAGATCAATCCTATGGAGAAAATGAGCATATGCGAGATTCTCTAAAACAAACTAGCAGTATAATTAATAAGCTAAACTCAGATCCCAAATTACTTGCGAACAAAAGTCTCAGGCTGTATTTAAAGCCAAGTACTTAAAGAAACAAAATTGCTAAAGTTTACAGTTAAATCACTGGAAAGCATAATATCTTCGATGCAAAAAGATTCATCTTTGAAAAATTCCGATATCACCTCTTTTCGAGACAAAAATAAATGAACTGAAGGTTGAGTTAGAACAAATTACGCAAAAAGTTTTATTAAAGTATTCTGATACTAACCAGTTGTATAGTAATCCCTTTCTTGAGATTAAAGCAAAGGAATTGGAAAATGAATTGGAGAAAGTTACGTAAAATTCATCATTTAAGGATGGGTTAATTTTCTGTCTCAGGTCTAGAATAAGTAATCTGGAAGATGAACTAGATCAGATCATTTCGCAACTGCATCAGTCAATTAATGATTTAAAAATAGGTAGTGCAGAAGTAGATCCAGTTTCATCATCCAATGATTATAAGCGAGGTGAAGCAGTAGAAAAGGTATCCCATTTTTCTTCACACTGTTCAGAGTCTGAACCTGATGAAAGCAAAGTAAAAGATGAGATAAGGTTCCAAGGAGACCATCTTGATGTTAATCACAAATCAAAAGAAAAACATGATACAGTCAAACCTTGATATAGCGAAGCCTTGATATAGCGAATTTTTAAATCAAATATATTAAAATTACCTTTACTATAGTGAACTAGCCAATTAAATTCTTTAAAAAATTCGTTATAAGCTTATAACGAAGTTGATATCCAGATCCTAGAATTTGTTATATCAAGAGTTTACTATAGTATCTCAGCCTCGCCAATTGTTGTATTAGGAGCTGGTAAGGCTTTAGTTGATAATCAGTATATGCTTCTGCTTATATTTGAACTCATGATTCTTGCTTTAGTAATTATACTAATTATATGGTATATATATAAATGTTTTTTTCGCTCTGATAAAAAGGAAGAAAATTTTCCAAAATATACAATACCCATAAATAGAAATCAAGGTTATGCATTCCCAATCCGATATACAGAAGCATAAGGAAAAAAGTACTCAAGCTAATTCATAATTTTTCTGAAACACAACACATATAATGCTTTGAATTCTTAGCTCGATAATAGCTTCCTTATAATTAAGTAAATATTTTTAGATTAAGTATTCATACACTTGGCTCGAAATTCAAAGCATTAGACACATTTCTTAATGAATAGATGCAAGCTTTTTTTCTGTCTTATGCACATGTATCTTTAGATCCTCAATCTCACATTGTAATTTCTTATTTATCCTAATCTGCTCATTGTACTCTCGATTTACATCTTGCATGAATTTCTCAAAAGTTTTTTTATTATAGTTGAGCAGGTGCTTTTTTTCTCATATAATTCGAAAAAAATGATTTATTAGAGTATGTTATCTGGATATATTATCTGAATATACTGTACTATTAGGATAAGATATTTCCTGTAGATCAATAGATCAAAGGAAGGCTCATTCATGATCTGGCGATTGTTTTTCCTTCTCATAATCACATGTGATACTATCAGTTTGAGTATCACCATTTGCTAAAGCAAACTTAATTGCTAATGCTAGAAATACATTACATTCTGACCAGCTTTGAGAGAGTATTAATTTCTTTGCATCATAGATTTATTGTGCTGTTTCCTATTTAATGAATTCTTATAAACTTCTAATTTATGCTTTAGATATGACTCAATTCGATTAGACTTTCCAGAAATCATTTCTAATGGAACAGGGTCTTTAGAGTGATTTATAAGACCTTGATATGCTCTTTTGACCAGGCTCTCTTGAAGTTTATTGATAATATGTTTATAGTCTGAATGGAACATTTTATTAGATATAGTTTTGTGCAAAAAAAATGGAGGAAGCAATTAAATTTCAGTGACTTTAGGTCATCCAAATTTGCTAAGAAAAAATGGAAGTTGTATTTTTTGTGGAGCAGACTAACTACCCTTGCAAAAGCACTGAACCATTGTAACTTGCCAAAACAAACTCGTGACAAGTGAATCAGGTAATTCTCCTATCACAAAATAATAACTACTCGTTTGCATTCATTTATAGTATTTTTTATTGATTTTATTTTTGTATGATGAGCTTGAGCTCATGATCAAAGACGTGTGATTTTCTGAAAAAAAATCTAGGACTTATCGCATGAAAAGACAAAATATTAATGACTGTGTTATCAATGGAATCTCTGCCATATTTGAGTTCGACCAATTTTTTTACTCAGACTATAGGAAATTCCTCCAAAACATATATCGACACTATTATTGAAATCTGGAATGCCCAGAACAATGTACAGTAGGAGGATTACGATTAAAATGTATTCAATAGTACTGGACCAGGATCTTTCCAAGAGCTAGTATTAAATAATGATATATATCATTTTTTTGAATAAAGTTTTGGGTGCTATCGAATAAATATCAATATGATGACAAAAAACCATATGGGAACGTTTCCAGTAAAATCAAGTTATGAGGCATAGTAAATCATATGATCTGTAATGTGATTTTACTGGAA